GATTTGCACCCCCCTCAAGTTTTTCTCTATATATTTTGCTATTTTTGCGTTGGTGTCACCCCCCCCCCCTAAATGGTGTCACCCGGTGCGTTCCGCACCACCCGCCCCCCCCCCCTCGCTACGCCTCTGCTTAACACTTATTCCAGAACGTAGCTAATGCAACCACTATCACCGTTTTTTTTGTTTAAATAATGTATGAATAACTTGGAGCAAGTAATGTAATATTTATGCAATCACACTAAATTTATTTAGGTGCTGTATTTCACAAAAAATACAATAAGTACATCAACTATACAATATAAAATATAACCTTAACAGAATGTTATGTTAATAGTAATAACAAGCTGATTTTAGTAATGACCATAAGGTATATATATAGGCCTACAAATAAAATATCTGTTGAACGTCCATATATAAAATCTACGTAGAAGAAGCTCCTTCTGCATATCGTTAGCAAGAAATGATGTTAACAAGTAGCTCCAAAACAAGGAGATGTACTCAATCAAAGCTTATCTTGTCCTGTGAAGAGTTCAGATCCCCAGGCTTTAAAATTTGTCTATGGGGTTCAGGCCTTATGTCCTGAACAATTCGCGACTTAGGCTCTATGTCCTGACCAAATCTAGATTTAGGACCAATGTCCTGACCAGTTCTAGATTTAGTACCAATGTCCTGACCAGTTCTAGATTTAGGACCAATGTCCTGACCAGTTCTAGATTTAGGACCAATGTCCTGACCAGTTCTAGATTTAGGACCAATGTCCTGACCAGTTCTAGATTTAGGACCAATGTCCTGACCAGTTCTAGATTTAGGCTTTGCGCCGAAATCAACGAAGCTTCTTTAAAAAGACGGTTCATAATGAGACGTATATTTTTTAGCCTAAATAAAATGCGTTATGCACCTTCAGTATACTAGTTGTCTTAAGACAACTTGTTAGACCTACTAAACCACTGAATTCTGGATGGTACTACAAAAATCGATGGAGGTTAGGAAAAAATCGGGCAAGTAAAACAGTAAACTGAGACCACTATGCTAAACATCCGTTTTGATAAGCGCCATACGCCTGTATCATCACCCCAATCTCTATCCCTCCGATCATCACAAACCGCTCCGTGTCTTTAAGTATCAACACGCTCGCGACCTTATCACCGCCATCTCCACAGCAAACACTTCCGCCCCAGAAAAATAGTCCCTGGCTAGGACAGGTTTTAACCTTAGATAACGCTATCCTCCTTGTGGGACATAGGTCGGTCAATGCTCGTTATCTGGTAGTGGACAGACCAAACTCGTGGCTAATTGTTTCAAGTGGTCTGTGATGAGCAAGTCGGGATCCAGTAGCTGATGGAAGAGGTTTTCTAGACTTGCAGATTTAGAGGTATCTGTAGCGTTGGAAAAAAACAAACATTTTCTGACTGAAATGTTTTTAAAGTCGTGTGGGGATTATGTAATGTTTTAATTCAACGGGCAGACTGAACTCATACAGAGGCGTAGCGACCCCTCCCGGCGCCCAGGGATAAACTTTCAATTTGGCGCCCCCCCCCCCCGCCATATATTTTTATATTTATAATTCAAAATAGCAGCTAAAATGAGCTTATTTTGGCGCCCCTAGCGTCAGCGCCCGGGGTAAATATACCCCTCGCCCCCCCCCCCTCCCCCCCCCCCCCCCCGGTCACTACGCCTCTGACATCATAGACAAATGTACATGAAAGAAATAGAGAAGTATAGCACCGATGTAAGGTGTATTAGGAATATGTAAGGTTTGAGTTCTACAGCTAGAAAGGAGATGGACAAACGTGTTGAGATTTCCTGATACGCTGGGTGCGTGCTTTGATCGGTTTAACGACGCACAGCTTCAAATACCTTGTTCCTTTACTCCTCTATTATTCTGTTATTTAACTAATTATATACGATATATATATATATATATATATATATATATATATATATATATATATATATATATATATATATATATATATATATATATAATGCAAAACAAAAAAAAATAATCCCTTGACAAAATAAAATGTAGGACTAATGCCTGATTAAAGTCTGCACTTATTCATTATGGTTTAATTAGTTAATGATTCTCGACATCTGTTTCGTATCTCGTAATGTAACTTGTGAGAAAAAAAAAAGAATATTAATTTTGATTACTAGATATTTTTTATTTTTGTTTAATAATTGATATTTGTTAAAATGTGTTGGTACATTTCTTACCTGACTCCATCGAAAGAGCTGTTTTTAATTGATTATTTTTGTATTCATTGCGTACATTTACAATGAAGAAAATCCGCCATGGGTCATATATTATGTTATAGAAGGTAAACTTAACAATGAACCCCTTAGGAAAGGGAATATATTCTCTATACTATAAGTGAGCCTCAGTCTTTAAGCTTTTTGGGAACATAATAAAAGCCTTTAATTAGAAATATATAAACACACTGGGTAATGCTCAAATAAACGCACTCTCCCCAATTCGAACCTAGCCTTGAAATGGCCCTTAACAATGTGGATCAAATTGTTGCTTAATAAACATCAATTTATTTTCCCGTCTATTGCGCTTCTATCAATATTTGTACCTGATGCAGAAGTGGGATGATGAAATATCTGCTGCCCAGGCAAGAAGCATAATTTTAGCTTCAATAACACACTGATAACCTCCCCTCCCACCTCCTAATGTACAAGAAGCCACAATCATGTCGCATAAAGAACTATAAAATACATTTTCTAACAAGTTTTAAGAAAAAAACAATTCTACTTGTTTCGTTTTGCTTAAGGAGGTTATGGACTAGGTATAGAAATATGTAGGCCTACATTGGAATTTGCGTTACACAATTTTCTTTTTTTAGATTTAATAGATCATTATTCAATGTAAATGGCGGAACAATGAGGGTGTAATTTACGGGGCGCCACCCCACTCCAACCCCCTCCTCGGGACTGAAAGCCCAATGTAGAAACGACAAATCTATCAGTGCGTGAGAAAGTTGGAATCATTCTAAGATATTGCGACACCCCAATGCTAGATTTAGCTATCGTTTTTTGTTGACATTTCACACAAAAATGTATTTAGATCATAATTTTAAAAGTCTAGTCTTTTTATCTAGCTTTTCTTTTGCTGTATCATTTTAGATAGTATAAATTGATTTAAAATATCTACATCGCGGATTCGATTCTGTAGAATTTAGGCTAAAAATAGACAAGGCGATTGCCATCTGATGGTTGTTAAATTTATAATTGATGTGACGGTTTATGCTCTGATTATTTGTCAGAACTATGGGATTTGGTGGCTGGTTAACGCTGTTTACTTGTGTAAGCAATGTGATTTAGCTTTAAGGCTGCCTCAAGTTGTATACTCGGACAAATCTAAAGATAAATTGCTCATTTTAAGGTTGTTCCATATTATGCATCATCATCTTTTACTGTTCGTGTTCATGACACATAATGCAGATGAAGTAGAGTTCATATGTTTCTTGATCTCGGAATATAAAGAGATAATGTGGTCAGCACTAAGCCCAGCCGCCATGGTTTTCCCTAACATGAGTAAGTTACCCATCATAGCTGGGGGGACTCAGGGACGTTCTACTGACTTGAAACAGGATTCGAACTCGAGATTTTCGGGTCAGCAATCTAGCACTCTACCGCTAGGCCATGACGTCGCATAACATTATGTATACTTAAACAAATGGAAAAACGTAATGTACATTTTAAGATATTTTCACATTCTGTATATTCGACCTTATTGAAAGATTGAATGCTCGCTTAAGGCTGCTTTACATTCCGCATACTGAAACAAAATGGAATGCTGAAATAATGGAGGTCTGGTGCAAGAGAGAAAATCTGTGTTTTGATACAATTAGCATAAACAAGTTCAAATCGTCATCTATTACATATTCCACGTTTTATTTTTGGGAAATTGAGTGATTTAGAGCAAAAACGTCAAGTAAAAATATCAAAATGGACAATCTTACTACAATTTGTCTTCATCAGAATCAGCAACGAAATATAAAATTTGCAGACAGATAGCGTAGAGGATCTTGATCTGTTTACACTTGCTTTTGTTTTTGTTGTTTAGTGTTTTTTTTTTCATTTTTTCCTCCTCCAAAATAAAGTACTCAAAACATTAGAAAATGCGTTATTTAAACAGTTGTAATTATTCTTTACATGTTTTTTTTTACATTAATATAGTGGTTTGTTGTTTATTTCGAATTCTGTTGCCTGATTACTTCTTAATGCAACATAATATCTATTACAAAATGGACACAAAGAACATGATATAGATGAACACCAGTTCATCTGTCTTATATACTTCTGCTTAATTATAAAGTATGGATTCGTTTTACTCAGTCAAGAAGGTATTAGTTTTATTTGTGTTAGAATGGCGTTTCGGCACGCATTTAATTGAACTTTAAATTTACTTTACAATATTTTAATGAAGGTGATGGTGATAAAACAAACTATAGTGTTTGAAGTTACAACACGATTACAGAGGAACCGACATTTCGACACCCCGCCCACGTTTAATTAATTATCAACACGTGACGAATATCTCTGTGTGAGATATCGAATTTAAAAAAAAATAATTCCTTTCATATTTTTTGACCGCATACAATCTAATATTCCAGGTCTGAATAACATCTTAGATATTTTCGACGAAACGCACTCATTTATACCAAGAAATGGTCTTTAATTAATTGCTATATTTTTAAAAAATAATAAATAAACTTTGTGTATATAGATGTTAAAATTTTTAACGTTCGATATATATTGATTTTTTAAAAATATTTCAAAAGCACGCTGTGAACTCTGGTTTATTGTGAAAAAAATAAACTCAAAACTTCGGGTCGTTTTTTTTTTTTTGTTATCCTCATCTCAAAAATCAAAATTTAAAAAAAAATTGCAAAAACTACATTTCTCGAATTTATTAAAGTATATCTGTATAATTAATTATTTAAAAAATCCAATCACTCGCTTACGTTTGATTAATTGTTGTATCGATCTAGGTGACGATTTTCCAAGAATGCCAACCAGAGTTCCTCCACGATCTCGTCCTAAAGATGAAGGCCTACATTTTTACACCGGGCGATCTCATTTGCCGCAGGGGGGAGGTGGCTCGGGAAATGTTTATTATTGCCGACGGGGTGGTGGAGATAATTAGGTAAGTGGGTGACTTCTCTTCCTAGATTCACAAAAAATAGTTGTTGTTTTTCTCTTCTGTTACTCATTTTTCAGCTAGATCTTTTAAAGTTACAACGTGAAATTCTTTCTACATTCATACATACTTTCATATTTACATACATCATTACATTCAGACGTACATCATTACATACATACATATATCATTCCATACATACATGCATATATCATTCCATCCATACTTACATCATTTCATACATACATACATATATCATTCCATCCATACATGCATCCTTTCATATGTACATACATCATTCCAGTCATACATACATCATTCCATCCATACATACATCATTCCATCCATACATACATAACTTCATCCTTAGATATATCCTTTCATCCTTACATATATTGTTCCATCGATAAAAACATCATGTCATCTATACATACATCCTTTTATCTACGCATCCAAAAACAAACTTTCTCACCCTATAAAGACACACAGCATTTTACTCACACCCCTACCATCCCCCCACCTATTCACAACCACCAAACCCAATACATCTTTCCTATGATCTGCCCCCCCCCACCTAACACACCACCCCCCCCCCCTACCTACATTCCCTACTCAGCCATCCATATATTAAAACCATTACTATCATCACCCGAATTTCACCAATCCACCCACCCATTTCCTAGCATCCATCCACCTCTACCAGTCCACCCGATTGTCCACCTCCCAACCAACTACATATTCCCTCCCCACATCCACCGAACCACCCATATGCCCGGCACTTTTCCACTCATCTCTCCCCTAGCCATCTACCTATAAACCCAACTACTCAACACCCATCTACCTCCCACCAATCCACCCAACCCCGAACCATCCATCTGTACCCCAACTACCCACCTACCCACAACAATTCCACCCAATCACTTACCTACCCCCAACCCAACCACCCACCCATCTCCCACTCATCGAACCCTCACCCACCTGCCGTACCACTAACCCTCCCCCCCCCTTACTTCCAGCGAGTCTGGCGTGATGTTGAAGAGAATGGGAGCCGGAGACTTCTTTGGTGAGATCGGCATCCTCAACCTTGACGGTGGCATCAACAGGTGAGTCATTGTCCTGGTCAACTTTCACCTTGCCCAACTGTTAGGGGCGGGAGGGAGCGGGGGGGGGGGGTCTTGTACCTTAAGCACGTATCTGTAGAGTTTATCTCTTATCATCTCCACTAAATGTTTACAGAATCAGATTCGAAATAAAGTGAAAATTTAGCCTTTAGACTTAACAGTCCATCCGGCAGGGAATATATATCTCATATTTTTCATTGGACTTTGTATCAATTGTGTGGTCAAAGCAAACCCCATACTTTTTAATTATTCCCAATCGATTTTTTTTCACTGTCTTAAACATTTGAGACCATCAACTGAAACAATAAAATACTGTACTGAACGAATGAAGGGGGATAAATGATGATGAATGTCCCTGTTCAATCTTTGTGTTGTGAGCTGTGACAGTCCGGTTTGTACCTGTTTGCTGTAAGCTTATATAAGGTGTGTGAGCAGGTCTGATTGCCTGAGTTCAGTCCAGTTCTTCCACAAGGTTAGTGTTTGTTAGTTCTGTACTGTTAGATAGCCACTGTATCTTAGTTTGTGTAGGTTAGTTATGTACAGTTAGATAGCCACTGTATCTTAGTTTGTGTAGGTTAGTTCTGTACTGTTAGATAGCCACTGTATCTTAGTTTGTGTAGGTTAGTTCTGTACTGTTAGATAGCCACTGTATCTTAGTTTGTGTAGGTTAGTTCTGTACTGTTAGATAGCCACTGTATCTTAGTTTGTGTAGGTTAGTTCTGTACTGTTAGATAGCCACTGTATCTTAGTTTGTGTAGGTTAGTTCTGTACTGTTAGATAGCCACTGTATCTTAGTTAGTGTAGGTTAGTTCTGTACTGTTAGATAGCCACTGTATCTTAGATTACGTACTAGCTTATGTATTTTATATTTAAAATAATCTGTATTGTGTAGTTAGTGTATTTAGCATTAACGAGCCGTTCTTTAATTTTGTCTTGAGTACTGTAACCCGTTTGTGGTTGTTCGTCTTATATGTTGCGCTATGCACTGGATAACCAGTAAAGGCGTATATGTGTTTACAGCTAATACTCTCAATGTATGTACACCAGCGATAGTATTATTAAAAATCACACCAGACATAATCTCGTGCATAGTGCGGGGTGGGGTGGTGGATGTTTTTCTCTAATCCCTTCTCCACCGCACTAACTTAAAGTATGTTTGTGTGTATGTTTGTAGCCCTGTTCTAGGCGAACATATCGACCCACACATTCTCTATACGTGACTCCACATACAACAAACAGATTTGACCCATGTGGGTACAATAAATAAAATATCCTGTTCAGTTCCAGGCTATGTAAACTCAATAGTTTGTGTTATTGGTTGTTGGTTTAGCTGGGTTATAGTGGGGTTTATGTGAGGGCTAGGGTTGCTTCACTCAATGCAGTGGGGTTATCGAGTACAGCTACATATTCTAGTATAGTTCATAACCCACATGTGTTAGATCAACAGCGTGGCAGAGCGGTAGAACGTTTGACTGCTAAACCGAAATTCTCGAGTTCGATTCCAGGTGTCAGTGGAGCATCTATGAGTCCTCCCAGCCCTGATGGGTAGCCAAATTCACGTTAACGAAAGTTAAGGCTGCTGGTCAAAGTGCTGACCACACTATCCCTTCATTTGCCGAGGTCAAGAAACGTATAAACTCTACCTTATCTGCCCAATGGATCGCTGGGTTTAAAGAGGGATCTTAACTCTTTACGCAAACTGTTTTAATTTAGTGCCTGTCGGTCTATAAACTCAGAAAAATATAGATATTTGCCGACCCAATAACATGCTGTGATTTTGTTGTTCCCCCCCCCCCCCACACACACACCCAACACACTCACCTCACTCCCCTCTTCTTCTTTATCGATTAACCAATTGTGTGTGGTATATGGTTATTGGTTGTTTTTTATCCTTATCTGGTGTCTAAAAAATATGTTTTAAAATCAAGTTCTTAAGCTACCAGTATCGCAATACAAACTGCACCGAATGAAAACCTACCATTATGGCAATACAAACTGCACCGAATTAAAACCTACCATTATGGCAATACAAACTGCACCGAATGAAAACCTACCAGTATGGCAATACAAACTGCACCGAATTAAAACCTACCATTATGGCAATACAAACTGCACCGAATGAAAACCTACCAGTATGGCAATACAAACTGCACCGAATGAAAACCTACCATTATGGCAATACAAACTGCACCGAATGAAAACCTACCATTAAGGCAATACAAACTGCACCGAATGAAAACCTACCAATATGGCAATACAAACTGCACCGAATGAAAACTTACCATTATGGCAATACAAGCTGCGCCAAAAACATTGCTTAAAATATTGCTTAAAGTTTGCAGACCAGACGTTGATCGAACACCTAGTGCAGATTCAGCAGAACGACACACGTCTTTCTAATCCACTCTATGACGCCAGTTTCTTCTCAAACGAGCGACACTAATCCTTGATCAAGGTGGATGTCTGCCTAATCCCACACATTACCACACATTGCCACACACATTGCCACACATTACCACACACTGCCACATACATTGTCACACATTACCACACATTACCACACACATCGCCACACCCAGCTTTCATATCACACTACAACATTCACCCCAAGTATCCATTAACTACAACATGCCTGTTTTACTCACTATAGGTCAACCTTGACCTTAATTTCCTTGACTTTTGTACCAGTGGGATGGAAGGGGGGAGGGGGTAGGGTTTAAGTTACAGTTTTAGATTCTAGTCTACTTTTTCAAACCCGAATCTTCTATCACACCTACCCACCTACTCATTAATCCAACTTTTGATCTACCATGCACCAATCATTCAACCTATTGTTCAACCCATCCATCCATCCCTCTACTCTGACATCATTTCAACCACCCACACATTCATCCCTCTATGCATACAACTAATCGCGCATCCATCCATCAGTCCACTCACCCATCTATTCAACCATCCAACCATCCATATCCACACATCTACCCATCAATCTACCCACCTATCCACCCACCCACCCACCTACGTATCCACCCAACCATCCAAATCCACACATCTACCCATCAATCTACCCTCGTATCCACTCCCCCCCCCCCCACTCACAAATCCACTCACTCACCCATCCATCAATCCATCCATATCCACCTATCTAACCATCAATCTACCCACTTATCCACTTATCCACCCACTCACAAATCCACTCACTCACCCATCCATCCAACCATCCTTATCCACCCATCTAACCATCAGTCTACCCACCCAGCCACTCACCCATCCACTTATCCATTTATTAACCATCCACCTATCCATTGTTTCTCTCTCTAAATTCCGATCAGCGAATGCAGGAGAATGCTAAGCTCCTACCTCACCCCTCAACGCCACGAGCTTAAAAAATCTTCGCAGTTACAGAAATCAATTAATTTACTATTAATCTTGACCAGTTTTCTTGTTACAAGGCAAGCCCACCCCCCTCCCCCCCCCCTCCCCCCTTGTACAGTTTAACAAAAATAATTTAAACAGCTATAATCTGTGTGTAGTGAATAAATTATTGGTAGTTTGTGTTTTAAACATCTCCCACTGTACTAGCAGCCAAAAATGCTAAGCTCATGGATACATTGTATATCATGATGACGTCATTAACATGACGTAATGTTAACGGTCTAGACAAAAAAAAAATATATGTAATTCAAATCTCTGCAAACTATTTTAATGCTGCATGCTAATCCTTAAATAGAAACGACATCACCTAGAGTGATTTCCCTTGAGGTTATTGGCTTACAGATCGTGTCTATGTAATTATGTTGTATACTATTTTTTATATATTTTTTATTTATAAGTTTGAAAAAGCAGTAACTCAAAACCTCAACCTAACCAAGGACCGCTACTCTAACTCGACACATGTCAATGCCCGGATTGGTATCGCATGTGAAAATTTTAAACGAGTGATCGGCCTTTGGTGTTTTTAAATTTCGTTTCGTCTGTTGTTTTTGTGGCTTAATTCTTGAGGGTTTTCACTCACATTGGACATGTTGATTCACCCTCCCCGCCCCCCCCCTCTCCCACGCACTACCTCCCACTCATTCTATGCACCACTGAACTATACAGTAGTAATCTGTGATGAAATTGTACTCATTTTAATTATTTCAAGGCATTTCCTGTCACATGTTTACAAGTTACGTCCCCTGTCCCTCACATCACAAACTGCTACATAGGCCTACTACCCCCCCCCCCCCCCCCTCATCCCCTACCCTCAATAGTCTCCCAAACTCTCGTAATTATGTAACATCATGTATGAAAAAAAAAACCTTCGCCCTACAACCCCATTTTTACCCGGACACAATAAATCCGTCGTAGTTAACTGCCCCTTGATCCCTCCGCTAAAAATAAAAAACCCAACCCCCCCCCCCACCCCCACACTGAAAATAACCCAAACCTAATGTAGATAAATAACCTTCTCCGTTCTGACCCCAAAAGTTGCGCGCTCACAGTGCGGTTGAGGCGGGCGAGAAATCTGGTTTTGATGATGATAAATACACGAAGTTCTCCCCCTTTACAGTGCGTTCAGTATTGGCCCTTTATTTTGACGCTATTGGGTCGTAAACACAACGGGTTCATCTCAACACCACAATCTCTCGGATCACGCGTTATAAAACGGTTTTTTTCCTATAATACCAAAACACGATGTATCAAGTTGTCTTGGCAAACTTAATACCAACAAGGAAAAAAAAACTCAATATACCATATGATGGGAAATAACTCAATTTACCACAAAGGGAAATAATTCCATACATCCTATAAACATAGGAGACAACTCTATTCATTAAGCGTATGTCCGTATTTTCTTATTAAAAATATAAAAAAAAGAAATAACATTTAAAAGTACTGGACTTTTTTACTTCAACACACATTTTTTTCCGTGCCTCAGTCCTGTTTCTAGGTTGTCATTTTCGTCGATAACCACGTCTAGTTTGTGAGGTTGTCTAGTCCATGTCTAAGTACCCGCCTCCCCTCCGGCATAGCCTTAGGACGGTGTTCTGGCTTTAATGGGTCCTAACCGGGGTTACCAGGACAAACACATCACTACTTCTGAGAGAATCCTACGTTAATCTTTACCGTAAACATCCAGATTTGTTTTACTACTTTGAAGTTCAAATTAAAATCTTCGCTTGTATCTTACTTGAGTCTAAAAAGGTAAATTGTAATTTTGTTTAGAAAATATGTTACAAGTAGTTAAATTCTTTATTTAAATTAATTTAACGGAATTTTTCTGATCGGAAAATTGAGTAATTTTTTAAACCTTATTAAGGTTTATGTGTATTCTGAGTAGACAAGTTTTAAAGAAAAAAAATAAAGTATGTTTTTACCCTGTAAAAAACTTAAAGAATTGAATTATAAATAAAAGAATTATCATAACCTTCTTAATATCGTAAGCTTTTAAATGCAATAAAAGAAAAAAATAATAATTTAGATTTAAAAGTAAAGTAAATGTTTGTAGGTTATGAAATCATTTGAATACATATTGTGAGCCATTCTTTTACTTTCACTACTATATATTATACAGGCGATTTACGTTTAATTTGATTTTATTTGGGGGAGGGGGGCATTTAAAAAAATGTTATTAATGCTTTACGCTAATTATATTTTTTTTTTTACATTTAAGAAATTTAGAAATTTAAAAGATGAAAAATGTATTACCAAGCAACATATAGTTCCATTTTTATTCATTTGATTCGGTTTATTTCAATTCAGTCTACCACACACAAGTATTTGCTTTATAATACGACCAGCAACTTAAAAATCATCAGCCCCTTAATAGACAATATACTCAACAATCATCTCTCTAAACATTCGTGAACACAGTTCACACATGGCTCAACGTGTATCGCGACTTCTTAATCTTATTATCTCCCATGTCACAGTAATTCAAATGTTTACAAAGCAAGATCTTATAGCTACAAATTTACAAAACAAAAAGTTTTGCTTTTTTTTAAGGGCGAAGAAAAAGAACGGTTAAATTTCTGCTTTTAAGCACTCCTTATTAAATTGCAAAAAGTCAATAATATATTTCTAAGTCATACAATTCAACCTATCCCTTTTAAATCTGTTTTTTTTTTCTTCGTTCAATCCTGTTTAATTTTTAATCGGATAAATATTACACACTTTGGAAACTATACGGAAACTCTTTTGACACAACTGTTTCAGCTCTGGCTATCTCCGTCCTGCCTTGAATGCTTATAGTCCCACCACTCATGGCGACACTGAAATGTTCTTTGAACTTTGAGTACTTGAACTTCCGGTGTGAATGAAGCCGGACCTAAACAGGAAGTGGCTCCGTTTCTATAGAAACACTCAACACTTCCGGTCGTACTGTGATCATTCGGATTTATTTTTTCCGCTACTATAAAATTACCACGCTCCACTAGAGAATTAGAGATTGACAACTGCGGTGACGTTTCTGTAAATCAGAGGCGTAAACTGCAACGATGGGGAGGGGTGGGGTGTTGTTAAGGGCGGCAGCTTTTCATGACTTGTGAAATTGGCGTTTACATGCTTACAACATGTTAATCTTTGTGTGAAATTGTACGTGACTCCTTAGTCATCCATTTGTTAACATTACGTGACTCCATTGATGTCTATTGGTTAAACATACGTCAATCCATAGACGTAATGTGTCAACATTATATGACTCCAGACGTCAATTTGTAACCAATACTTCATTCCATAGTCATCCATTTGTTAACATTACATCATAAATAGACGTCCAGTTATCAAAATCCCGGATATAACTTCTATCCTATAAATAGACCACTATAGATCACCTGAGACAATCGTGGCCGCTCAGTCAGGTGAGCTGTGTTCACCTATGTTTACAGACAGAAGATTGACAAAAGTGTTTTGTAAAGGGGACGATGATTCGTGTTTAAATTAACTACCCACTGCTAACCCGAAAGTCTCGAGTTCGAATCCGGGTTCAAGTCAGTAGAACGTCCCTGGGTCCACCCAGCTCTCATGGGTACCTAAATCAATTTAGGGAAAGTAAAGGCGGCTGGGCAAAGGGCTGACCAAACCTTTCCTTAATTTTCCGAGGTCAAGAAACATGTGAACTCTACTTCATCTGCCCGATGGATTGCCAGATCTAAAGAGGATTCTTTACTTTACTTTTATACTCCCCCCCCCCCACCCCCACATCACCATCATACATCCAGTAACTCAATCAGCTAAAAGTTCATATAGTTTTTATCAACTCGTAGATAACTTAAGGAAGTTTTTAATTATTTATTTTTTTACGAGCCGACCCGCGGCATATCATACGCCGCTATTTAGTTGTTTTATTTTCTACTTTTCAGTAATTTATAATTTGTGAATTCGACAGTACCAATACTGCCACTGTAAATATCTATCTATCTCTATATATAATTCTCTTCTGGGAGACGCTAGAAAACAAGCTGTAAATGCGCTCCCTACCATCCCCACCCCTACATGGTCTTAGTGAGCTGTGGTTCACGCTATGTTTACCTTCGTGGAGTCGGGTTTAGTGACGGCTATTAGGGGCAGATAATTAAGTTTGAAACGATTTTAAACGTTGGGGGGGGGGGGGGGGGGGGGGGGGAAGGAAAGGGGGGGGGGGGGGGTTATGGTCCTTAACGAGATACATATAGTGTTTTAAAGAAATATTTTCAGTGTCAGCGTTGGTACTGTCGAATTCACAAATTATGAATTACGAAAAAGTAAAAAAAACAACAACTAAATTGCGGCGTATGATATGCCGCGGGTCGGCTCGTTTGCTTTAAAACACTATCAGTAGGTCGTTAAGAACGATACAACCCCCACCCTCCTTTCCCCCAACACCTACCCTACACCCCCCCCCCCCCCCCCACCACCGTGAAAGCAGCCTCCTCTTAGTTACCTCCCCTAAGTTTAAAACCGTTTCAAACTAAATTATCTGCCCCTAATAGCCGTCACTAAACCCGGCTCTACGATTGTAAACATTTAGCGTGAATCACAGCTCACCAGACCATGTAGGGGTGGGGTGGTAGGGAGTGCGCTTACAGCTTGTTTTCTAGCGTCTCCAAGAAGAGAATTATATATATAGATATCTTACTCAAAATGCTGAATAGTCTCCCCTACAAAAAAATGGAATTCTCCGTACACCTTTGGTACTGTTAAGTCTCTGAATTTTCTTTTTCAAGTGCTTCCTCCTCTATTGAAAATCTAACCGTAACAATATTCCATTCCTCCTCTACTGAAAATCTAACCGTAACAATATTCCATTCCTCTTCTATTGAAAATCTAACCGTAACAATATTCCATTCCTCTTCTATTGAAAATCTAACCGTAACAATATTCCATTCCTCCTCTATTGAAAATCTAACCGTAACAATGTTCCATTCCTCCTCTATTGAAAGTCTAACCGTAACAATATTCCATTCCTCCTCTACTGAAAATCTAACCGTAACAATATTCCATTCCTCTTCTATTGAAAATCTAACCGTAACAATATTCCATTCCTCCTCTACTGAAAATCTAACCGTAACAATATTCCATTCCTCTTCTATTGAAAATCTAACCGTAACAATATTCCATTCCTCCTCTACTGAAAATCTAACCGTAACAATATTCCATTCCTCCTCTACTGAAAATCTAACCGTAACAATATTCCATTCCTCCTCTATTGAAAGTCTAACCGTAACAATATTCCATTCCTCCTCTAATAAAAATCTAAATGTAACAATATTCCATTCCTACTCTACTAAAAAAATCTAACTGTAACAATGTTCCATTCTTGCAGGAGGACAGCAGACGTCAGGTCCGTGGGTTACCTGGAGCTGTTTGTCCTGTCTAGAGAGGACGTCCTTGCTGCACTCAAAGATCACCCGGAAGCGGAGGTAACCAAAAGCGAAAGTAGATTTTCAAAGTGGCTTTTAAGGAATTTGTGTAGAAAATCTATTATGAAGGTTTTTTCTTTTCCAATACCTTTGTACTCCGTTGAGCTGGAATTTTGTTTTGCCAAGTATAAAATAAGAACAGAAATGTTGATAAATATTTTACATCAAAATGGAGTTTTCACTTGTTAGGACTTAGGTCATAAAGAATTGCGTTTCATTTGTTTGCCTGATTTTATTTTATTTATTTTTTTTATTTTTTTATTTTTTTTTCGTTTTTTTTTTTAATTTTGTATTCCCATACACAACTTGAATAATTAATAGTTGTATGGTTGAGCATATTATTGCTAATCCGAAAGACTCGAGTTCAAGTCCGTGGGTCCACCCTGGTTTAATGAGTACCTACCTCAGGTAAAGGAAAGTAAAAGCAGCAGGGCATCGTGCTGACCAGACTATGACCTTATATGCCGAGATCTGTAAAACAGGTGAACTCTACTTCACCTGCCCCATGGACCTTCAGGTTCGAAAGGGAACTTCACTTACTTGGATTCTCAGTTTAGCATGCGTGATTCCATCCATGTGTTAGTAAAAGAATTTAGTTATTTTTTTCAGGTGGTCTATCATATAGAGTGTATTGAGTCTGTTTTTTTTATTTCGACATTATGATTGTGTTATCAGCATCCTGTCCAGACATCTTTTCGTGCTGAGTTGACTCAGAGACGTCTGACAGTCCTAGGCCGTATACTAGAATCGACTGAAAGCACACGCTTATAAGTCTCAAGAAAATATTCTTAATATAAGGAACTTTCTTAAAACCAGTTTTATCTTCACCTACCCACCCCCCCCCCCCACCCCTCCCCCCATTCCCTATAAAACATTCTAAAAAAAGAAGGGAATAACCATTTTAATGCTGTTGTTTTGTGTGATTAAATCACTTAGGTATCTTTTTTATTTTACGCTTAAGAATGACAAGAATTCTATTCCATAAACTATAGAGTTTATATATATATATATATATATATATATATATATATATATATATATATATATATATATATATATATATATATATATATATATATATATATATATATATATATATATATATATATATATATATATATATATATATATATATATATATATATATGACCTAAATTAGCTAAACATAATGCTATTCTACTTTCAGTTATATTTCCTATAATCAAAACTTCTTATTAAGGGACGTCAAAAAAAATTTTAAACGTCTAGTAAATATTAATTTAATTTGATAAACCTGATACTTCACATAAGCCTACTGACAAATTAAACGATAAATATTTCGCGTTGTACAAGTACTCAAATCAGGCAAACAGGAAAATCAATAACCAGAGTTATGAATCTTTTAACGACAGGAACATAAAACGGAAGTTGAAAAAGATTCCCAGTTCGTTTTTCTTGATCTACCTCAGGGGATTTGCACCGCATAACACCAATGACGGTATTACATTAATTGATGATTTTAATGTTCATTACCGTACTTGCTGTAAACTGTGTAATGTCTTTGGACCTTTTTTTTTTGCCTGAAATAGCTGTATTACTAGTAGGATAAAATTCAGTTTGCTGAAACTTTCAATAAGTAGATCTATTTTATGCAGTTATTACATCTATATATAAACCAGTAGGTTCATATGGAATCTTTTTTTTTTAACTAACGAACAGTGTTACTTCCAGACTTTTTTCTCCGGGGGGGGGGGGGGGGGGAAGGGCACTTGAAATTTTCGGGGAGGGGGGGCGGTAGACTTTCTTCGGGGGGGGGGGGGGGGACACACTGTTAAAAGTATATATTTTCTATATAAATTATATAAATTTCGTTTCGTTCGGGGGGGGGGGGGGGGGGAGGTAGAATTTTTTTTCGGGTCGCCCCATCCCCCCCCCCCCCCCCCGAAGAGATGCCTGGAAGAAACTCTACTTACGAAACCCAAATAAAACAATGGCCCTAAACAAAATTCTAATCCTAGCCTTAACCATGAACCCAACCTGCATCTAAATCTTGCCCCTAACAGCAAAATTTGCACAAAAAACAAAAAAATAAAAAAAAAAAAATAAAATAAAATAAAAATAAAAAATGATACGATATTTTATAAGACTGTCGATTATTTGAACCCTTTTTACTAAACCACTCTTACCGCGCGATTTTAAGAAGTTTGAAAATGCATCTATCAACCATCATAGGACTGTAAGATCAATAAACCCATCAGGTTTTTGTATAATCGCATACAGAGATCGGCCGAACCTAAAATGTGCGCATATTATTTGTCTATTACGCGTTCAGTTTTTATTTATATTTTGCATAAAAGTGCGTAGTAACATAACCATTATGTTTTTACCCCAACGCAACCATGCTAAACATCTATCACTCAAATTCGTTTTTTCCAAAGTATTTTCCTGATACAATTTTTTTTTGCGCTATATTTTTTTAATTTAACTATCACGCATACTCCTAGAATAAAGTCCTAAATTTTCCCACAGCTTCCCCCCACCCCTCCCTACAAGCTCCTTTTTGTTTTTGTTTTATTTGCTAAATTTGCCCGTCAAACCCCCCTCCCTCATTTAGCAAATTGTTGCAAAAGTGTCACCCCGTCCCCTACCCTACATAGCACGTTGTCACAAATGTGTGACCCGCTCCACTCACAAAGCACTTTGTTAAAAAAAAGTATGACCCCCTCCCCCACATAGTACACTGTCACATAAGTATGACCCCCTTCCCCCACTAACACTGTCACATAAGTATGACCCCTCCCCCCCCCCATATATCACATTGTCACAAACGTGTGACAACCCTTTACCTACGTCCACCGCCACATGTGTGATTTGAGCTATCGACAAAACACAAAACAACAGAATCTCTTCAGTTGTTGTTTTTTATCCCGACAAATCTAGACGGCTCGTAAAAAATATTCACGCCTCTACTTTAAAGGCGACTTACCATCAGCTTTTTAATTTTAATTTATAAAATCTTTAAAAAGTAAAGTAGTTTTTTTTTAACAACTGGCGATCCGTGTTGCAGATAAAGTAGAGTTAACCTGTTTATGTGAACTCGGCATATGAATTAATAATGTGGTCATCATTATGTTAAGCCACTTTTACTTCCCCAAACGTTAATCAGGTACTGTTAAAAGCTTAAATGATTCAGAGACTTTCTAAGGACTGAAGACCAATATCTCGAGACCTACCGGCTAGCAGTCTCTAGCTCTACCATCCGACTCAGTCAGCACTATGTCCAGCCGCTTTTACCTATTTTAACTTGAGTCTGATAAGCCACCCATCAGAGCTGGATCATCTCAGTGACTTCCCATACACTCAAGTCCGGCATCCGAACTCTAGACTTTCGGGTTAGCAGTCATGCTCTCTACCACCCGACCACTCCATCCCGTATAAAACTTCATCCTGCTTGAAAATGTTCTTGTTCTTATTTCAGTCCATTATCCGCGACTACGGCCAGAGAAGACTCCGCGAAGTCGAGGCTCACCGTCTGAAGGTCAAGCCGCTGAAATGTCGCGGCAACTCGGACCAACAAGGCAGCTTCAGCGGCGGTTCTCAAACAGTCCCCAACAGGCTCCTGCAGACGCTCCGCAGCCTCAACCCCGCAGTGCGACGCCAAAGTGCCCAGGTCAACCACCACCCCGGTTCCCCGCCCGCGGGGGGTGCGCAGCCCGGAAACCCAGCCGGGACGCCGGTCGGATCCCAAAGGTTCGTAGCCCAGCCATCTCAAAGAGATTCGCCTATCCACAGAGCAACCCTAGCCTCTAACACAGCGCCTAGAGTAGCGAACGCGCGCAGCGGCGCTCAAAGCAAGCCCTCCGGCGCAAACTCACCTTCTTTAAATGTTCAGGATTCTCCAGATTCCTACTCGGGGCGTTTCCAGCGGAACTACCCGGAACGACGTCGAAGCTTTGCTTATTTGCGTACGGTATGCGCACGCGTCAAGTACGCAATGAATCGCAGAAAAAGTCAAAGAAGTAGTGCTGATGATTTGAGAAACAGGGATTTATGGGTAGACGAGATTTTTAGTAAATCCTTCGACGATCCGTCAGTATGTGCGGATAGTTGTAATTCTGTTAATCCTATTTCTAAAATACATTTTGAATCAAGGATCGATGCCTCTAAAGCAGCTTCCACCGAGGACCAACCAGAATCGACGAGCGATAAGTATTGTGAAAAAAAGGATACATACGACAACGAAAAAAGCTATGCCTTTTCCGGGGTTAAAAGAAACTCGCTGCTTTTCTCGGGTTTCTCAGACGTGGAGCAAACGGCGCGTCTTTCAAAAATGGGAAAAGGAACGTACCGGAAGTTTTCCGAGCCTGTCACCTACATGCCGGTGTGCACGGAAGATTTAGACGAGATGATAACGCATGAAAGTCAAAACACGAAATGGAAAAAAGAAACGAATAAAATCAGCCCGGTTACCGAGGCTGATCCGTCTGTTTTGGAAGAGGAAGGTGACGGTAAAGACGCTTCTTCATTAGTAACAGACACCGTTAACTCTAAACCCACGGATTATCAGTCTTCCGAGTTTCGCACTCTCGAATCCTCGCCTAAAGTGTCTTTCACTGCAAGCTCTGCTCGTCAAAGTAAAACCAGTGACGTCGGTGCTATCTGTTCAGATATCCCCCTCTGTGATTGTAATGAGAACCTTTCTCTGAAACAAACATCGCTCACTCCTGAACTCAACGCAGGTACTTGTATTCGCCCCGTGTCGACTTCCTTCGAACCTGCAGAGAAATCCCTACCTCACGAAAACCCATCCACCTTGAGGAATGCATCTCGGCAGTCCCCACGACGCATTAGACCTCTTTCTTCCTCCACAGCCAAAACCAAATATACCTCAGACGATTTTTTAAAATCTCACACCACCGAGAAATCCTCCTCCACGCCGATTTCTCTTAACGTATCAAAAGAATTCGAAGATACGAAGCAGTACTCAAAAAATTTAGAAGAAGCGACGCTGTTCTCTTTACAAAACGCTTCCCCCAGCCCGTTCACCTTGTCGTGTCAATGCGACCCCGCCGACAACTTCACCAAATTCATCAGCAAACACCTCCCTGAGACTCTCAACCAACGGCTCGTTAAGAGAAACACCAAACCAGACAGGACGTTTCTCGCTGTCCACTCGCCAAAAACCGTGTCCAAATTCCGGACGTCGAGTGATAGCGAGGCTCACAACGACACGAACACGCTGGGCCCGGAGAGCCAGCATTTGGCCACCAGGTCCCAGTCGTTCCCCAGGTTAACGGCAACAGACACGGCAGGTGCTGCCAGGTAAATCGAGGCTAGACCACCTGATGGATGCCAGTAGAAGTGTTGAGTGCCCGCATCTTTCCTGTCCACATTATTACATGCACTGAATGTCAAAGAGTAGACCTGATTACATTTTCTCACCTCATCCAAATCAAAATAAATGTATATGAAGATCATAAAACTGTAAACCACATTAGATTTTTCACATTAACAAAATCAAAATACAAGTCAATGAAGATCATACAACTATAAACCACATTAGATTTTTCACATTAACAAAATCAAAATACAAGTCAATGAAGATCATACAACTGTAAACCACATTAGATTTTTTACATTAACAAAATCAGAATACAAGTCTATGAAGATCATGAAAACTGTAAACCAGATGAAATTTTCACATTAACGAAATCAAAATACAAGTAGATCCTATATGAAGATCATTAAACTTAAGTAATAAAATAGGTGTTCTACAATAAATATATCACTTAATGACAATCAGGCTTAAGGCCATCGCCATAATTGACCAGTAGATATTCAAATTTAAAGTACCGAGACTCAATAAATATTTTTTTTAAATTTCGTTCAAATAAAATTCAAAAATCTTCATTAAAGCTGGATAGTGAACACTATTGTCACGATAGTTGTCCGTTCTTGAGAATCTCCACAGCTTTCAAGCTTTTTCAGGCTCGATTCATAGAGACTATATCTGCTCGTCTTAAGAGTCCATTAACTAGGAATGATTGTTGATCTAGCCTTCCTATAGCCCAAACATTATATCCGACCCAATGGCTTCTATGTACATGGGTATCAAATGAAAAGAAGAAACTAACAATCATGTTTTGCGTTTAATCAATACACACTTTCTTGTACGACTTCCAAACAATTCGGGAAATTACAAGCAGCTTAACAAAACAACCAAATAAGAAACCTCATCACATGCAAAACCCGTACTTTAGAGGAGTACGCTAATTGATAAAAACATTTACATGGAAAACATTATATATATATATATATATATATATATATATATATATATATATATATATATATATATATATATATATATATATATATATATATATATATATATATATGAATATATTTATAGGCCTATATATACATGTATATATACATACATATATATCTTTGAATATATGTTAAATACAAGTAAATATATATACATATATATTTGCATATGTATATATATACATACACATTATATATATATATATATATATATATATATATATATATATATATATATATATATATATATATATATATATATATAGCATTCCAATTTGTGAATCAAATCAAGATTATATACTGTTTTGACATTCAGTGCTATAGCTTGCATCCAAAAATGTTATTCTTAGCTCTTGATGTATTCCCGTTTTTATGTCAATATTTCACATTTAGAGTTTTTAGGGTCAAGGCCATATGCATGATATGTTGCCTAAATCGCTCATTTTTCTCTAATGCATTTACGACATCTTTATTTTTTTAAGTTTGTGTGTGAGATTAGTTTGTAAATTTTTTTTTTAGTCTGAAGCCGACGCGAAGGTTTTGGAGTGTTCTGAGTTGTTTGCTTTTGCTATAAATAGAACGTAAGGGGAGAATTCGTTGAAATATTTCTTTGAGAAAACATAGGAATATTTGCTAATCATTTTCTTACTTTTTAACGCAAATGGTTGTAGTGTAGTTTAAAATTTGTTTCACAGATTTGCGGAAGTTTATAGTATTATTTTTTTATTTTCCTCATAGCAAACTCGAAAGTTACCTACATGACATAAATAATTTGATAACAACTGTAAGTTATGATAAATGGTGGACAAAATTAGTTAAACTATTTTTAGACCAGTGATTCTTAACCTGGAGGTACAGAACCCCACTGGTCTCTTATGCGCATACACCGAACCCTTTTCGATAGTGAACCATACCATGTGCGTCGTAACCACCGCCGAACCCCTGTGACTGACTCACCGAAGTCCTGGGGTTCCATCAAACCCAGGTTAAGAACCACTAGTCCAACGAAAATATTTTCTAATCATCAATATATATTTTTTTAGTTTAAAATTCTGGGTCCGTTTTTCGTGAGGTTAGATTTGATAGGGTTTTGTATAGATGTCTTTGCCAGAGATATATCAAAATAAGAGAGGATCTTAGATTTTAAAATAAGTGGTATATTACATTTCTATCAAAATAACAAAATGTCACGCATAGAGGGTAACTCTCATTATGTCGGTAGAATAATTACGAACTGTTTTGCAAAAACAACATTACAATAACTAATTAAAATACTATTAAGAGTATAGGTGCGATTTCTTAAAAACATTGATTTATTAAGAAAATGGAAATTTAAAAAAACATCTTTTTTATCATTTAGAATTAATCAAGGACTTGTAATAACTTAAAATGTTCGTTACATATATCTATGTATTGTTGGATTACTTAACTGTGCATGTTTTTTTTAATAAGTAAGATAACTATGGAAATTATAATCTGCAGAGTTACCGTTAAATGAAAAATTAAAGTATTTGCATAGATAATTGGCTACAGGGGGTGGGGGGGGGGGGGTCACACAGGCATATGGGTTGAAGGTGGGTTATCAACATAACACAAAGGACCCCTTCAATCTAGCATAACTGTTTGGTAATGTTCTCTTAATCACGCTATTTATACTAAACTTATATTAAAAGTATTTTGTGTTTTAAGTTGTTAGGGTCTATATTATAGGCCTATAGCTGTGTGTTTTCAGTTACAGGCAGTGTAGAAGAATATGCAAACTACATATTATAGTGTGTTGTCTTATTTCGTTTTCTCTGCGTATCTGAGTTTGTCAACGCTTATGCTACTAAAGTACGTGTTAGATTTTGTGTGTTATGTTTTTAAGTTTAAATGTATTAGTATTTTTCAAAAAATTGTGTTTTATTACCTTATCTTAGAGTGTGTAGTAAAACATATTTACTTTTTAAATTTGTCACTATGTTTTGGATGGCAATCTTGGGTGTTTACAATAGATAACTGTCCATCAAGCTTTATATTAATGTTAGCTCATATAGATCTTGTTAATGAATGTTCATGAAGATCTGTTTAGCAAATAAAACCCACCTAAATCCCGTGAAGTGAGCCCACTGAAATCACACACACATTTCCTTAATCCAGTTAAGTAATAGGCCTGCACATAGTGGGAAAACAACACATTCCCTCAGTGGAATAACGTAATTGATACAGTTCAGGAAAGACCATATAGATCCCATTGGTGAAAAACAATATATATATATATATATATATATATATATATATATATATATATATATATATATATATATATATATATATATATATATATATATATATATATATATATATATATATATATATATATATATATATATATATATATCCCATAGTTGAAAGATCATGTAGATCCTATCCGATTGATGAAAGACCATATAGATACCGTGGATGAAAGATCATATAGATTCTTTTAATGAAAGACCATATAGAACACATTGAAAAACCATTGATAAAACAAGGCATATAACTTATTCGGGAAAACCCAAACTATTCCTGTTGTAGAAAATCCCACAGATCCAATTTATGAGATAGTCCATCTTTAAGAGCCCTACTAGGCTCCTCAGAATAGTATCGGAATAGTATCGGAATAGTATCGGAATAGTATCGGAATAGTATCGGAATAGTATCGGAATAGTATCGGAATAGTATCGGAATAGTATCGGAATAGTATCGGAATAGTATTGGAATAGTATCGGAATAGTATCGGAATAGTATCGGAATAGTATCGGAATAGTATCGGAATAGTATCGGAATAGTATCGGAATAGTATCGTAATAGTATCGGAATAGTATCAGAATAGTATCGTAATAGTATCAGAATAGTATCAGAATAGTATCGTAATAGTATCAGAATAGTATCAGAATAGTATCGGAATAGTATCGGAATAGTATCGGAATAGTATCGGAATAGTATCGGAATAGTATCGGAATAGTATCGGAATAGTATCGGAATAGTATCGGAATAGTATCGGAATAGTATCGGAATAGTATCGGAATAGTATCGGAATAGTATCGGAATAGTATCGTAAAAGTATCGGAATAGTATCGGAATAGTATTATTAGACATGTAGGCCTACTTGTATTCCAATGTTAGAACACAGTTTCATATATACCATTTTAATCCTTGCTGTTAGTTATTTAAGCCTCTTGACCTAATCATTATTTAAAACGTATACATATTTAAAAATAGAGTTGTTCCCAAAAATGTTTTTTAAAAGCACACGTATTATTACCATTTTAAGATTACTAATAACTTTAAACCCTTTACTTTCTACAGTTTACCTCATTATAAATTATTTATTAATGAATAAACTTTACACATTCCATATTCTATGCGTTTAGCAAAAGTCTTACATTTCTATGATAGTCGAATAAAATGATATTTGTAATGAATATTTGTAATGCATATTTGTAATCGATATCTGTAAGCATACGTGTAATGCATGATATAAAGCATTTATTATATTCATATATAATTCGTCAGTATGTGAACTAATTGATTGTATACGGCATTATAAATGTGAAATGTCCTAGCAATATAAACTTGTATTTTGAGTTAGAATTTTATACGTGTAGTTTTTATGTTCATGATTTTTTTTTAATTTTAGATTTGAAACAGTATTATTTAGAATTCATATTTTAATCGGATAATTAAAAATATACTATTCTTCGGAAATTTCAATGATTACTAATCAACATTCATAGCAGAAACATGTTCACTGATTCATTAATTTGTTCTATTTTCATCAAATAAACTGATTACTTTTAAAACAAATGCACATTCTGTGAAGAAGAAAAAAAAAATTTAAAAAAAAAAATAATTTTGTTTCTTTAATTTTTTAAAGATTCACATATTATGAGATTCAACTTTTTAATCGCCACAATCTGTCTCTGTCTTCCAGATGCCCAAACACACCTTATGAAGGCCATTTCTCCTTCGACGCAGCCGAGTCAGACAGATCACCCACAATGAACAGGTACAAATTAAATGTCTCGGTATTTAGGCGAACCGGTTTATTTATTTACCCAACAAAGTAAAGCAAAAACACTAATATTTTCTACAGATAGTTTTTTTTTTTGTAAATAGTTTGGAGTTCTAATCCATTGGATAAGTTTATCCTAATTACAGATACCTAAAAAGACAAACTTAAATATATTTAGTTTTTGAAAAAGATTGCCCCCTGGACGTTAGGTTAAAAAACAAGAAACTTTTTTTTTTACCAGTGACCCAATAAGCATTTTTACTTTCTTGTCATCGAAGTATTGTGGAAGTATTGTAAAATTGCTAAGTTAACGTAGAAGTTTTGCAACTCACTGAGTCGGAAACACCATTGAGTGTGTGTTTGCTTGCGTGTGTGCTTGTCTGCCCTTGTGCGTGCGTGCATGCGTGCGTGCCTGTCTGCGTACCTGCTTGCCTGCGTGCGTATCTACCTTCGTGCTTGCGTGAACACGATACCTTAAGTACCGTTTCAGATATTGGACGAAATTTCCTATTTAACTATTAGTCCCTAGGTTTCTATCAACTTTTGAGCGATTTCCGGTAACCGGAAGTAGTACCTACTCTGTTTCAATTTATCAAAATCCTTCAGGCAGCTAGCTTATTCTAAAACGTTTTCAGCACTATATTTTATCTTGAAATAAAAAAAAGCGGTTTTTGTCACAAACTCTCTACCATCTCTATAGTCGTCGTCCCCCCCCCCCCCCTCGGAATTGCCATCATACTGGAATACACGCGAGTGTTGAGGAAGCTGACTTCCGCTTTGTTTTAATGATGTTCATCTGTCGCGTTACTGTCGGAAACTTGTAAAACACTAACACCTACATGGATTTTAACGTGTTATATTTTTGTATTCATGTGTGTATCATTTTGTAATGTATTTATTTCTCTTTTTCGAAGACTGAAACAAAGCAATGGCAAGCACGTTGAGAGACAAAACAGCGGAAATGGGCGTTCTCATCCCATGTCAATCATTCAAAGCCCAGCCTCTGACCTCTCGTATCAACAAATCACAGCACAAATACAGGCCATGCAAGGCATGATTGACAAGCGATTGGTGAGTAGCAATCAACAGCGTCACTTTAAATCAGAGTTTCTTACAGGACCCCCCCCCCCCCCTAAGAAAGTCTACCGCCCGCGCCCCACTCCCCCTCGAACGAAATGGAATTTATATAGGAAATGTATACTTTTAACAGTGGCCGCCCCCCGAAAAATTTCAAGTCCCCCCCCCAGGAGAACAAAAGTCTGGAAGAAACACGTTTTAAATTATTCCATTATCTTGAGGAGGGGGGGGGTATGTCTGCCTTCCACAATATTCTCAAACCACACCATCTTATTCTTTCAAATGGGGTTCCATTGAGGGGGTGGGGTCTTTTGGGCATATCACTTAATTCTAGAAATACTCTTATATGATGCCTTCGCGCATCTCTCTCCTTCTCTCTTGATAAAATGTATGAGTAGGTGTACATTCATGTGTATCCATACTTGCACGCGTTTACACATACTTATCCATATGTATATGTAATGCCTCTCTATGTCATTACTATGGCGTCCATCCTAAAGTTGATATGTTATAACTGAGTCTTTGACCATCTCAGATTTAGTGTGCCGGTCTTTGAAGACGTTTTTCAAGTTATGATCCCTTATTTTGTTATCAGCATGTCCTTTTTCCTTTTACTAAATCCAAAAACCAGAATTAAAATTTTAAAGAGGTTGTTGCATCTAAAATGCTCAACATTTCAAATGTGGGTTTTTGTTTTTTTAAATTTCATACGATCCTTGAAGAATGATTCGATTTTTTCTCCTTTTGTGCTTAGTATATTTTACGTTTACTTACAAATTTTAAAAATGCTGGTCAATTTGCTTAAAATATTTAATTAAACATTTCTAATTAGCCAATTTGGCAAACAGTTTGAATTTTTTTCTTACATTCAAGTAACCATTCTTGATTCTCAACTAAGTATCTAACTGAAAATCTAGCCGTTTCGCAATTCAACTAAAACCAAATTTTTGTCTACAAAAAGATCTAATTGTATTTCAATAGATTGTTCGTATATTTTTACTAATACTTCTTGTCTTGCTGATGTTTTCTAGAATAACCTGGAGGATGTGTACCATTCGGCTTGTTCCAAGTTGGAAAAACTGGCCACTTCTCAGGAAACATTGCTACAGCTGGTACAAGAAATTCTGGTACAAAATTTGAAACATATTCTTTAAGTCAATTTTCTCTTCCAAGCCTGAAGGTCCACGGGGCAAGTGAAGTAGAGTTCACCAGTTTCTGTGACCTCGGCATATGAAAAGATAGTGGGGTCAACCCTATGCCCAGCCGTCTTTACTTTCCCTAACGTGAGTTAGGTACCCATCAGAGTTGGGTGGACTCAGGGACGGTCTACTGACTTGAACCCAGATTCGAACTCGAGACTTACGGGTTAGCAGTCTAACTCTGTACCGCTAGACCACTACCGTCCCACATATTCTTTAAGGCTAACCATAAATTACAAAGTTTAAAACATGTTCTCTAGACTTGGTGGAAAACATTGTAGTAAATTGCTACAGGTAGTACAAAAAATTCTGATACAAAATTATGTAAGGTTGTTAAAGTTACCAAAAGTAACATGTTTTAATTGTGAGTGAAGTATTTGTAGCTCTGTTGGACTGCCAGTTTCGAAAAAGTAATTTTCTAGTTGTACTAATGGTCTTTTTTATTCTTTTTTTTTAAATTTTAAACAGTCAGGACTAAAGTAATTAAGAATTCGCATTTTGACGGTGTAAGAATCAAGTCTGGATTCGTAGGAATTAATGAATTTTGTATTTTCAGTGTATTTTGTTCGTTACAATTGACTGTTATTGAGTACATATCTATGACCTAAAACATCTTTCCATCTTACAGAAACAACAAAGTGAAAGAAACACAAACCAGTTAATGCCAGGGGATGACAACATAGACCTAGAATTGAGTGTTTGAGAATAGGGACCTAACATCGAGTGTTTGAGAACAGGGACCTAACATCGAGTGTTGGAGAATAGGTCCCTAATATCAAGGTTTGAGAACAGGGCCCTAATATCAAGGTTAAAGATCAGGGACCTAGCATCAAGTGTTTGAGAACAGGGACCTAACATGTTGGAGAATAGGTCCCTAGCATAAGTGTTTGAGGGACCTAACATCAAGTGTTTGAGAACAAGGACCTAGCATCGAGTGTGAGAACAGGGACCTAACATTAAGTGAATGAGAACACGGACCTAACATCACGAGTGTAAGAACAGGGACCTAACATCGAGTGTTTGAGAACAGGGACCTAACATCAAGTGTTTGAGAACAGGACCTAGCATCAAGCGTTTGAGAATAGGACCCTAATTTCAAGGTTTGAGAACAGGGACCTAATATCAAGGTTTAAGATCAGGGACCTAACATCAAGTGTTTGAGAACAGGGACCTAACATTAAGTGTTTAAGAAATGGGACCTAGTATCGAGTGTTTTAGAACAGGGACCTAACATCGAGTGTTTGAAAACATAGACCTAGCATCAAGTGTTTGAGAATAGTACCCTTGTATCAATTAGAACAGTGACATTGCATCAATGAGAAAAGGACCCTATCATGAGATGATCGAGAACATAGCCCTAGCATCAGATGTGAGTTAGGGCCTATCATCAAGTGTTCGAAACAAACTCTAGCCTTATTAGGACTTTGTTGCTGAAGTTGTTTATTTCATGCTTTGTTTTCTTTAATGTTACACAAGGCTAACCTTTTCAACTTTGCCCTTTGTTATTAGTAAAACGAGGCGAATTAGACGCTACTTTTATATCACTTTGTTAATAATGTTACAATGGACTGAGGTCCCAATGTTTTAAGAATCTTTGTTTTCATGTTAATTGGGGCTAAGTAACTTTAGCCACTTACTGAATTATGTGTTACATCTCATGCTATGATCATGTTTCTAACCCTCTCCTGTGGTATCTACAAGGTTACAATAGATGATGGCCCTAATAGTTTTTACTTTATGCTTGGCTGTAATGTGTGTCAAGTCGAAGTCCATAGGCGGATCTATGGGTGTGCAGCAGAGTTTCAACAACTCCAAAAAAGTTGACTATATTTAAATGGGAGCAGGACATTACCCCCCCCCCCCCTCGGCCGTAAATTACCCCGTCCCCATCCCCCCGCTCCCGGACATTGCCTCCACCCCCCCCCCCCTTGACATTACCCCTCTGTCAATGACCCCCTGTGATTTACCCCCACCCAGTTAGGGATAAGGTGATGTTGAGTTAGGGTTAGGATGTAGGTTTAGAGTTAGTGTAAGGATTGATGTTGGTGTTAGGGTTAGCTATAGGGTTAGGGTCAGGGTTCTTCAGGATAAAGTGTGTGGGTGGGGTGGGGGTATGTCCTAGAACCTATCTGTGTGTATAGGCTTAGACCTACCTCTTCTCACAAACTTAGTACGCTGGATACACCAATACTGCAAAGTCCATCCCCATCCCCACCATTCCCTGACTCTTATTTACTATCCACTCAACTGACTCCAAACTACTGACTCCACGACTTCAGCATAAGAGTCATTACTCTGTTATCATTTTAGCCGTACGTACCAAATCAGCCAAGCCTTTAGTTTGATATATCGCTGTCACTTAGATTCACGCATGTTTTTTTTTTACTGCGGTAATTTTATATTAGTGAGCTGTTCTTCTTTTAATAGTGAGACGTTTAAAATTTTCAAAGATTATATTAAAAACGATTCTCAGTTCACTTTTAACTTAAACCCAGAGCATGTTCAATGATTGTTATTGATTAATACTCATGATTGTATCATTGGTGAATTTTAGAAATTGTTCATTTGTAAGCATATCAGTAAAAACAATTGACCGATTCAATAGAATGACCAGATGTATATTTGAGTACAAGCGAGAGAGAATCTATCAATAGGTTTATAAAAAGACATGCACTTAATTTTTTTACTGAATCTTCTATGTTAAACAATAAAACGCTAACGTGGCTAGCAGTGGCGTCGCTAGGTCGGGTGTCACTCGGTGCGGCACCTCATAATACTAGCGATGTTTATCTATAGTCGGTTGTTAATACAGCTGGGTGTAGCATTAATTTCTTGATAGTTTGCATTTTTACGTCATGGTGTCACCACCCCCACCCCCTTGTAGGGATCATCATTATATACTTAAGATAATTTTCTAACTCTAATATACAATTCATTGAACTGTTAAGAATATTTATTCAATATATCTTGCAATTTTTTTTTGTCTTGGTGTCACCCCCCCCCCCCTAAATGGTGTCACCCAGTGCGGTCCGCACCCCCCGCCCCCGCCTCGCGACGCCTCTGGTGCCAAGTCCGAATTAAGACATACATAAACATTTAGTACCAATAAAATACATAATGATTTACAAAAAAAAAAAGAAGTTACCACCATAATATAGAATATAGTGGGGTTTTAACAACTTTAAAGTTTAGAAGTTACCACCATAATATAGAATATAGTGGGGTTTTAACAACTTTAAAGTTTAGAAGTTACCGCCATAATATAGAATATAGTGGGGTTTTAACAACTTTAAAGTTTAGAAGTTACCACCATAATATAGAATATAGTGGGGTTTTAACAACTTTAAAGTTTAGAAGTTACCGCCATAATATAGAATATAGTGGGGTTTTAACAACTTTAAAGTTTAGAAGTTACCACCATATTATAGAATATAGTGGGGTTTTAACAACTATAAAGTTTAGAAGTTACCACCATATTATAGAATATAGTGGGGTTTTAACAACTTTGAAGTTTAGAAGTTACCACCATATTATAGAATATAGTGGGGGTTTTAACGCCTTTAAAGAAACCACACCACCAACAATTGTTTAAGATGAAAAACATTTTCTTCGAATTATTTTTTAAAGAAATCGTTTTAAATTCAATTTCTTCAATGACAAATAAATGCGATTCTAATTCGTACACGTCGGTTAAACAGGTCCTAGCATGGAAGAAAATTGGGTCCTATCCCATGGGTCCTACCCCAGGGGTCCTCTCAGCTCGTGTTATTCTTGTCAGCAGGGGTCGGGCGGTACATTCGATCACAATCATTGGCTGAGTATTTTCATTTTAAAAATCACAGATCTGCCAACCTATAACAAACTGACCAGATTCTTCTTGTTTAGTTTACCAAGCGTTTGGTAACTCCGCGTTTTAAACTGGATCAAATCATAAATCAGCAGTTTATATTTTCTAAACTATTTATACAAAATGAAAAGGTAAAAAAACATAATTTCTTAGATGGGCGTTCAAAAAAAAAGAATTTTATTTTTTTAATCATTCAGACAAAATGTATTTTAAAATGTTTATTTTAAGGCTGTCTTCTTTAAGCTATACTCAAGATATAAGATAAATTATATTAATCCAACTAATAATATTATGAAAATTATTCCTGGTTAGTATGGCCTCCAGTGTTTCTTTCAGACTTTTATATCCTTGGGGGGGGGGGGGGGTAAAAAAATTTGTGGGAGGCGGACTAACTTTTTTCCGGAAGTTGGGGGTTGAGGGGGGGGGGGGGGGCGGACACTGGTAAAAGTATTTACTCTTATTTTTTTGGGGGGGGGGAGCTGAGGGGTGCGGTTGGCGTGTTGCTCCTCTCACCCACCCCGAAGAGATGTCTAAAAGAAACTGATAGACCTAAAGAGCCTACTCGTAGAGTTGGTTACAGGCTAAGTGCTAGAGTTTCCATTGTAGTTATGTTGGGATGAAGGCTGGTGTATATTGTTATTACTATACAAAACTGTGTTTTTAACTGTCGCGTATGGAAGGCCAAGTGACGATTATTATTACATAAATCTCCCACCATCTCCGCTGTTGAAAACCACTATCTTGTAGCTAAGGGGCGGCTACTTGAGTTTTACTACTTTATCTAAAACAGAAAGTTGTCTCCCATTAAAGGGTAACTTTAAAAAATTCCTTCTGCTTCTCGGAAAATTTTAGATTTAAAAACAATTTTAACCTAGAAAAAACTAGAAATTCGACAATTTACGGGGGCTGTTTATTAACTTTTTTTGGAAATTTCAATTACAACTACCCAGTAAAATCCATACATTTTAATTTCAACAGTTTTGTTTATAATTTTCTCGAAATCTCGTCTTTAGCGTCCTAATAGCTCAAAAAATAAAACAAAATGATAAGCCAGCTCACACTAAATGGTATATAAGTGCACGATCTCTTTTGCTTTTATCGACTTAAGATCTTGTTAAAATATACTAGATCTACTTCTTGTTTGAAAATTTTCAATGCTTTGATATAAACTATTACACCAAATATTGACTTTATTATAGGCCCTATATCTATTCTATTCTCGACTGAAAGTGTATACAATTTTCGAGAATTTTTTTTCTAATAGCCTAATTTATATGCAAAGATATAATCTAGTGGGTGTAAACATTTTCTCAATATGGATTATTTATCAAATTACTTTTGTTTTTTTAATCTACCAAAGTATCTTTCATTTTAAAGTGTTAAAACCTATATTTCCATTACAATTTTTTTAAACTGTGATTTCTTTTTTTTTTCTTCTGTGAAATATTATTTTTTTTTTGTAAAATAAATATTTTTATTGTGTTTTACGACTTGCAATTTAAATTATTATTCACCGGTTTTTTGTTATCTGACGAATTCAACCAAATAATGTAAAACTGTAAAACTACTGGTCAGAGTAAAACTTAAAATTGTACAGGAATATCACCACTCCGATCTTGTTTAGTTTGAAAGTCGTTAGGTCGAGTTGACCAGATAAAATTTATTAAAAATGTCCGTGTTTTGTTGCATAATGAAACACAGAGGAAATAAATGTCACTAGTCAAGTGTTTACATTGGTATCATAAAACACAATGCACTGGCTGGTCTTTAGACTGTTTGTGGTAGAGAGGGACATTAGTACTGTTGGTTTAGCCGTACCATACTATAGAACTAGTTTCGTTACCCCGCCCTTCATTTCATTTTCTAAAGGCGATTTT